ACCAGTTTGTCTAATATTTTCTTTACAGAATATCGCTATAGATAAAATTCCATTAATCATTCCAAGAATGAACATAAATACAATAATAATGAGACTAATTTTAATTACGAATGGTTGTCGATTAAATAAAACATTTGGTTTAATATGATAACCAAGAATATAATCAAGAGATAATACAAAACCTCTTGTAGAAAATTGACATTTTGTACCATAATAACATTCAAGGCATGCGCATATTGATAGAATAGGACATTTAATATTGTCTTGAAAACATAGACCACCATTTTCACAAATATTTTCTCCATGACAATCATATGATAAAGTATGATTAAATGTAAAACAATTAGAAAAATGATTAACATCACATATACACATGTATCTATTATCATAAAAGCATTTAAGTTGTTTTTGTTGTTGACACAAATAAGGATAATATTTAACACGATGAATAAATGAATAATTTAGAAAAGTATTATTCATTAATTCATTTATAGACAAACATTGATAATTTGACAATATTCTTGTTTGAATATGTTCGGATTCGATAAATTTTTCTCTTAATACACCTAAATAATAAGTTTGATTTGTTAATTCAATAAAGACAACATGAAATGAATGTGTTATAAAGACTGTAATTATATTTTGATCAAAAATAATCTTTTTTAAAATTGTCGTATGTTGATGATTATCATTTTCAATAGCAGTAATAAAATGTATAAATACAAATGACATCATACTAATTTTATTATCATCAAATTCAATATCAATTCGATTTTTCATATTTTCACATCGTGTTCCATAAAAATGTTCATTACATAAACATGTAAATTGATTTAAACCCTTACGATCATCAATAGGTATACAAAGTCCATTATTTTGACAAGGGTTATTTGATTTTTTACAAATTGAATATTTTAAATAACATTTTGAACCAAATTTATTCAATGGACAAATACAAATAGATGATGTAAGACAAAATGAATCAGATGAACATGAACAATTATATTTAATATTACATTGTAAACCCGAATATCCTTGATTACATTGACAAAAATATGATGAATTTTTATTTATATATTGTACACATCGACCATGTTTACCACAATATAAAGAACATGATTTTGTAATTAATGAAATGCTTGGAATAAATAATTGAGTAGCAATTCG